TATTATTGGATATAAAATCAACGTTCAAAAATCCATAGCATTACTGTACTCTAATAATGAAGTGTCAGAAAAAGAGGTGGAAAAAATAATTCCTTTTGCAATTGCAACAAAAAGAATACCTAGGAATAAATTTAGGAAACATGTGAAGGACATGTATAATGAAAACTACAAGACCTTATTAAAAGAAATCGAAGAAGATACAAAGAAATGGAAAGATATTCCGTGTTCCTGGATTGGAAGAATCAACATAGTTAAAATGACCTTATTACCTAAAGCATTATACAGATTTAACGCAGTCCCTATCAGAATTCCATCGGCATTTTTTAGAGAAATGGAACAAAAAAATCATCAGATTTGTATGTAAGCACAAAAGACTCTGAATTGCCAAAGCCATCCTGAGAAAAAAGAATGAGACTGGAGGCATCACTCTGCCCAACTTCAAATTATACTACAAGGCGACAATAATCAAAACAGCATGGTTTTGGTAGGAAAACAGACACATGAACAAGTGGAACGGAATCAAGAATCCAGAAGTAAACCCATATTTATAAGGGCAAATAATTTTCGATGAAAAAGTCAAAAACATACAGTGGAGAAAGGAAAGCCTCTTCAATAAATGGTGCTGGGACAACTGCAAAGCCACTCACAAAAGGATGAAACTTGACTGTTGTCTACCACCACACACCAAAACTAACTCAAAAATTAATTAAGGATCTGAATATAAGACCTGAAACAATAAATGGTATAGAAAAAAATATAGGAACTAAACTCATGGACCTTGGACTTAAAGAAGATTTTATGAATTTGACCTCTGTTCAAGGGAGGTAAGATTGTAAACTGACAAGGTCCTACAATCTGTGAGGTCAACCAAGGGTTGCCTCGCCTAAAACAAACAAACAAACATAGGAACTAAACTCAAAGACCTTGGACTTAAAGATTTTATGAATTTGACCGCAAAGGCAAGGGAAGTAAGAGCAAAAATAAATGAATGGGACTACATCAAACTAAAAAGCTTCTGCTCAGCAAAAGTTGTCAACAAGGTAAAGCTACAACCATACAAATGGGAAAATATATTTGCAAGCAACACCTCCGATAAGGGCCTAATATCCAAAACATTAAAAGAACTCATACGACTCAGTAACAAAAAACAAACGATCCAATCAAAAAATGGGCAGAGGACCTGAACACTCTCCCTATAGGATATACAAATGACCAACAAATATATGAAAAAATCCTCAACCTCTCTAGCTATAGGAAAATGAAAATCAAAACTTCAATGAGATAACATCTCACACCCGTTAGAATAGCTATAATCAACAGGACAAGTAATTACAAATGTTGGAGAGGACGTGAAAGAATAGGAACCCTCATACACTGCTGGTGGGACTGCAAATTGGTACAGCCATTATGGAAAATAGTATGGAGATGCCTCAAAAAACTAAGAATTGATCTATGATATGATCTAGTAATCCCTCTACTGGATATTTACCCCTAAGACTTGAAAACTCATATCCGAAAAGATATTTGCACACTGATGTTCATTGCAGCATTATTCACAGTGGCCAGGTGTCCTACGATAGATGATTGGATAAAGAAGCTGTGGTACATATATACAATGGAATATTACTCAGCCATAAGAAGAGATGAAATACTGCCATTTGCAACAACATGGATGGACCTTAACATAATCATGCTAAGCAAAATAAGCCAGACAGGAAAAGTTGAAAATCACATGGTATCACTTATATGTGGGATATAAACCTAGAAGCAATAAATGAACCAGAGACTCATGGACAGGGACAACGGACTAATGGTTGCCAGAGGGGGGGAAGGGGGAGGGGAAAAAATGAATGTCAAAACAATAAATAAAGCAATTAAAAAAATACCTAAATTTCTACTCCTTTACCAGTATATAATTCGTTTCCTTATGCTGTTCTCAAAATCTCATTATTTTCAGCTGAATTTCTTTGATTCACATTACATTTGTATTTCTTCTTTTGTAAGTTGCTTGTGGATATCCATTTCTCATTTTTCAATGGATATTAATCTTTATTTTTATAGGAACTTTGCTTACCATGTATGTTGCAAATACTTTCCCCAGTTTGTCATTTGCTTTTTCACTTTATAGTGAGAGTTACTGCATTAAAAAGTTATTGTTTAAAAGCACAGTAAATTCTTTTTAGGTGATCAACCTTTTTCCTTTTTGGTTTTTCCCGATTGTTTTTCTTTTCCCAGCTCAAGGTTTTTATAGGAGTCACATATTTTCTTCTGGTTTGGTATAGCTTAATTTTTCTACATTTAACTCTTCAATCCTAAGGCTCCACTGTCATTTCCCTCCAACTGTTCCTGGACCATTTATTTAATAAGTGTTTTTCCAGAATTGGAATGCTACCTTTTAAATACAAAATAGTCTGTATGCTTGGTTGCTTAAGTAAATTTATTTCCCATTTCATCATGCTATCTCAACTTGCACCAGGAACACTAATGTAATCATTATAGTATTGTGTTGTTTTAGTATCTGACATTGTAAGCCTCCCATTTTCATTCTTTTCAAACATTTTCTAAATTGATCCTTTCCTCCAAGTCGTATCCAAAAATACCTACAGAAATATGTAGTTCAGCATATTTATGCAGGTATTTTCTGTAAAGTTTAAGGCAAAATATATTAACATTAATTGTAATATGGAAAATTGTTCAAATGGTTAAGCCCTAAGAGGAAAGCATATCACCTGCAAACATGCCGAAACACTATGCTTTTCCTCCAAAATTTGGGGAAAATGAGACAATTTTTAAATGTTCCTAGTAGCAACACTAAAGTTTGTATGAATTTCAGTAATGTGGGAAGGATATGGAAGAAATAGTTGAAAAGACTAATTGAAATTCACTTTTTTCGGCATTGCCATCCTCACCTCTAACGGTAAGGCTGTTTTCAAATACAGTATCCTTCAGAATGTCTGACAATAGGGTAATAAGTAATTTAGACAGGTATCTGTGAGCCATTCAAAAGTTTATGTATAAATGTTTGCCAATTTTAACAAACATGGAAAATTGTGATTGGAGCATAAAATCTGGAATCATCTCATTATTAACTACTGGCTACTGGATGACTTCCAGATTCCACAGGGCCTTTTAGCTATCTTCTATTTAGAAGGATCTGAATAAAACGATTGTTGGAAGAATTCTACTTTTTCTCATGTCAGGTCTTTTATGCCTCCTACTCTCTCTTTCCTTCTATTTATGCCCTAGACATATTTCTAACTGCTGATAATTTCTAGAATTTAAAAAATAGCATACGAGATCTAAATCTGTGTGGTACTTTCCATGGTGGTTCTTACAACACACTACTCATTGGATCAGTAAGTAGTAGGAAAAAAAGTATTTTTATTCACTGACTGCCACAGAAGACCTGGAATCTTATCAATTACACAATTTTCAAGATTAAAATGATATAAAAAAATTCAGACATTTCATTTATGGGCCCAAAAGAAATCTATGCTGCACCAGATATATTACTATTTTAAGTGAAATCTTTTTTTTGCTTAACTTTCACAATATTAAGAAACAAAACAGCAAATAAAGTGAGATCTCTACATCTCCAAGTGGCAGAACTCAAAAACAATCAAAATATTTCTTCTGCATAAAACCATCATTATATCTAGACTACTTTTTCATCAAATGGTGAAAATATTAGACATTAAGAAAACATAGTCACCTCATTTGTTCACTTATAGAAAAAACCTTTGGAAAGCCAATCTGATGCCCTTGAGGTCAAATGACCATTCAAGTCATTCACTCTCACTGACTCATCGTCTTTATTTTTAAAATGGAGTATTACTTACCTTTCAAGGTGTGGTAAGGATTATATAAGGAATATGAGAGTTCCTAACACATGCCAGGTATAGTAGGCACTCAAAAGTTAGTTCTAATTTTCCCATCCTGATACTGCACCAAATTAAACACACAAACAAGATCAACTTGGATCTGAGAATCATTTAACATAGATAGTATGTACTTTATTTCAGTGAATGATTCAGTCATGTTACATCTGTCACATAATAGTATCGTCAGTCAGAAAATGCAGGTTCTACTTCCAGTAGAACTTCCAAATGGTTCATGTTCTTTTTTAATCTGTGAAATAAAGTGGTTGACATATATATCCCTGAACTGTTTTCCAGCTTTAGAATACTTGATTCTATAATCCTATGATTATAGAAATAAAATACACACATTCAAACTTCCATGGTAAAAAGAAATTTTAGGCATAATACTCTAGTATATTGCTGTTAATGAGTCTATTTTGAGACTTGAAAAAAAAATTCATAATTACCCATTTGGCAAAGGTGACATTTCCAAGTAAATTTAGATATGTGTGTCCCAAGTAAGCCAGAACTTCACCGCTTGATATATGCCCTAGAGAGTATACATGTCCTTGGTAATGGAATGAAACTAAAACTTATTTAGAAATATTTAAATGTTTCTAAATGTGATTTTGATATTTCATTTCCAATCGCGTCGTGGCGATATGGAAATATTTACACAATACAGCACGACGCCCTCGGTGTACTTTTAGGTCTCCGCAAGCATTTAAAGATGATAATCGCGCAGTAACTGACTTAGTGTTGGGCAAGCTAGGGTTACTGAACAGCTGCGGGGGTGGGGGAGACTGGAGAGAAGAGACCCCGCACAGCGTTGGAAGGCTTTCATAATGGGAGCAACCGCGGGGTGGCGTCAAGCCCTT